GAAGAAACACCGAAAGCAGGGATGCTACTATTTAATTAACACTGATGTATAACCATGAATACAGGATAGACAGAAATTCATACTCTAAGAATCTTTTAAAAAGAAATACTGCTGTGATAAGAGAAAAGAAGACATTAACACTGAGCAGCTTTTGGCAGTGATATTTTGCCCTATGAAGTTCTGTGAAAATTGCACTGTATCAGTAATATTTAATTGTAGCGTAAAAATTAAACACCATTTACTTGATATAAAATAGGGATAGTATGTAAATTAAGTAAGTTTCAATTCATGTCTTCTTACTCACATCTGTTGGCAGTTTAAATAGTTTTAGTGTCATTAATTGTTATAAAAGTGCAAGATTTGCTGTATGCTTGCCACTTAGGACCAAAGGCACAAAAGTCTAATTGAACTAAGTAATTAGTAATTTGTCATTTCCTATTGTCAGCAATTACTTTCCATTAGAAATCCTCACTGAAAATTCTAATTTGAAGTGAGGTTTGCATTTTATTGCTGTCCATCCAAATTAGTTTAAAATTGACAGCTACATTTTCATTTAAAATTTTAAAGATATTAAATATGCTTGAAGAAACTGAAGCATACTCAGCTCCACATAAGCCTCTGTCTAAGTCTGTGTGTATGTGCACACAGGCACACACGCATACACACACTCGAAAGAAAAGACAGCTAACACCAAAGGAGGTGCCTTTTATTTCCCCAAAAGGGAGTTACTGTGCAAATATCACATCATCGTTGCTTCTATGAAATTCCAGGTTTCTGATTTTTACATTTACACACAGACCCCCGCAGTGGTGCTCTCACCTGCACACAGATGGACAAAGAAACAACACACTATTAGACTTCTTTCTGGGGTTCCAAGCTCCCTCTGGGATATGACTGCTGGATGGTTTTTCATTTGTTCTTTCTTCATGCTCCACTAGCCAATCAACACTTTCCCTTCCTTAAGTTCTGAGCACTGTATAAAGCTATGGGGAAACTTAGCCCTCAAAAATAATGCTAAGGAGGTGATTTATAATTAGGTTGGGTCCACTGATATACTTTAAACTAAGGGCAACTGGTGAGTCAAGCTGGTCCTTCGTTTCCTTTGTAAAAGTTTGAGCACCACATGTTATCCCAACTAGATAGTCTTCCTGTTTTAAAACTTAACAAGTCTTTCTCTTAAAGTACAGCTGGATTTCTTTAGCAAATGGATTAGCTTTCCAATTGTTAACAGAAAAAAATATATAGAAATGAACTTCACACATTTTTCTCTCTACCCATGATTAAAATCCTGAAACTGTGCAATAAATCTTTAACTGAAGGTTTTGAGTTAATATGCCCACATGCAAAGACCCAGGATCTTAGATGAAGCTTACAGAAGTTGCTTGGGAAAAGCACTTTCATGTATTTGTTATGATAAAGATGGCAGTGTTCATAAAGAACAGATTTGATTTATTAACCTAGAGTTAGAATTACATTAAAGGGCAAAAGACAATGAAATTTCACAATTACATGTCTAACAATACAGTAACTAATAAGGGTGGTGTTGAATGCATCTCTACATTAACTGAAGTGATACAGTTTACTAATTTCTTTTTTCCTAAGTTATGCAAATGCTAAAACTGACTTGTAACACTGGAAATGGTAATGGATTTCTCTTATTTTTAAAAATGACTTTCTAATCATTACTCTAAATTCATATACTTTCACAGAACAATATTCTACTACTACCCGTATGGTAACTAACCAGATATATCACACATCTGTAACACTTAAGTGAACATTAATTAGTGGTAATTTACAATCAAACTCCAATGGAGAAGCAAATTATGCTTTCTTGAACATCAAAAGTCTTTATCATGAGCATTATGATGAAGAATGCCAGAACATCTTAATTATTTCTGCTTATAAATAACATTACCCACAAATCTTCAAAATGTACAGAAAAGCTCCGGAAAGCCAAAATGTACTAGTTTCATTATAATTTGGTTTTGATTTAGTGCCAATGCAGTTCATTTCAATGAATATCTTGCTCCCGTAAATGTAATAGAGAAGAGATTGTTGAAAATTCAAGAGCAAATCTTTCTATTGGGCATACTTTTGAAAGCTATTGAAACAGATTTAAGAAATTTTACTACATACTACATTTAAAATTTTGCTGTATAAATCCAAGATTGTCTGTGATATCTCAGTTTCACGTGAACCAAAAATCACTTGAACTGCAAAATACTTGCCTCCTTACATGAATCATATCTCAATAGATTCACAGTTCTAAAGCAATATGATTCACTGAAGAGAAATAAGCAATACACACAAACTCTTATTCTGCTCATTCTAAATTGTGTATAATTGCCAATAAGGCATTGAAGAAAAGAGAGAATTAAATTAAAAGTTCAATAAACACTGATCAATATGCTTGTAAATACCAAGTCTATAAAATGATCTTCCTTTTAAATGTAGTTATACCACATGTACAAGTTCTGTATTTTGGAATTCAGCTGATCATTTTAAACCTAGTTAAATTTGTTTCCAATCGCAACATGCCAGAAATCTAAGACTGCCAGAAGGGATTGGGGGGAAAAAGAAGAAAGAAAACAGCAGCCTGGATTCTCACACTATTACTGTCTCCTGGTTTAGCATTAGCTCACAATCAGCTGAATAAAGAAGTCATCTCTGTCGAAGATGTAAATAAATCACAAGCCTCAGTTACTTTACCACTAGCTGTTTGTCATTCAGAAAAATAATGGTTAATCAATGTCTAATCAATGAAGATGTGTAACATATTAGTTTGCAGTCCTTCATCATCCTATTTTCTTCAATTGCCTGGGGGTTTGTGTTCAGTACTTATAGAATCGATTACAATTGAGAGTGATCATTCAGCTCATGTTGAGAGCTGTCAGCTGTGCTTTCCACGAGGCAGTTTTACTCTTGTGTTTAATATGAGATGCTAATATTTAGCTGCATCTGACAAACTAGGTTCCGTAGTGGAACATTTTATGAGAAGTGCTTAAGTAACTAATTGTATCACTACATGTCACTTGATGAAACTAAACTTTTCCTGACTTCACAATAATCATAAGCATTACTGGCTTGCTGTGGAAAATTAAAGGGAAATAGCTGCCTGCTTGAGTCTGATCATGCCTGCAGGGAAGGTCTAGGAAAGGCAACGACCAATGACGCCTTTATAAATAACAACTGGGAGGTGGGGGTGTGGGAAGGAGATAATTCTTCAGTTTTCATATAAAGCAAGATTTTTCAACAGGAAGGATTGTATATCTTCATGTGCGAGCCCACAATTCCTCACAAACACCAGGAGAAAAGTCGAACCCACAGCCTCTTGACACATTTCCTTTAAGAAACAACCTTTTGTGGCTATGTGCATTTAAAGTCCAAAGAAAATGTTAATTGCCTGACAAGCTCATATTCCTTGCCATTTATAAAAATATATCACCAACCTGTACATCCTGAAGAAAGACTAGGAGAGTATTAAAAAAGGTGGGAGGGGAGAATCTTGATTTCCTTTCAACAACAACAAAAAATTGTCAAGTTATGGAGCGTTTTGCTTTAATTACTACTTCTGTAATCTGTTTTGTAAGTTGTGTTGATGACCTTCACAATGTCTAATGTTAAAAACTAATAACAATATACTGTTTGATTAGAAATATGTTTAAATCTTGATAGTATTGATTTTAAAAGAACAAGTTCAGGTGTCTCATTGCTAGTATCAGTTCCAACAGCACCCTCTAGTGGCCACAGCCTTGAAGCACCTTGTGGATGGTGGGAAAGCCATAGGTATGCAGTTCAAGCTCATTGACACTTGCTTTATAGCCAATATTAAGAAACTTAAAAAGTACATCCATCATCACAAGTGACCTAAATGTGCTCTTAAACTTAAAAAATGTTTTAATATTCTGTGATCAAGCATAACAGGGAAGTTTTAAATGAGCTCAGATTTTCTTAAGTTATAATAGCACATTAACTTTATTAGAGTATTACTTCAGTGATACATTTTCAAATTTTATGCATTTTAATTGTTTAAATTTCTGGGATAACTGCAAAAACTGACACCACCTTATAGAGAGAAGTTATCTTATGCTCAATGCCATGATGTGCAATGAAATATCAAACTTACATTGTTTCCAGTAGGAGTAGAAAGAAAAAAACTCTCTGCGAATTGCATTTTTAATGAATCTGCCTTGTTATATTAAATAAATAATTTTAAATATGGGCAATAATTCCATCAAATGAAAAATAAGTGCTTCTGTTTTCTTTTAGTTTTAACTTTCATTTCACAAATAAATCCCATTATAGTTGTGAATAAATTGGCCTAAAATGGACCTGCTGGGAAGACGAAAAAATATCTACAAAAAACTCATTTTCAATTATTTTAAAAGAGAATTTTGTGGTCAGAAAGAACAGATACAAGGCAGATGTGTACAGTCAATTTTAAACAATAGATATATCTTTCAAGGTTGATGAGTTAGATGTGTGGTAATATTTTGTGCAGACATAAGCTGCATTCATACAAGCAAGTCATTTAGCTAACCTGACCTAAAAAACAAACAAAATCTCATCATTTATGTGAATCAAAACTATTTTGGATGTGTATGCTTGAGGACATGAGAAGGAGAAACTAAGGACAAAATTGCTAGGGGCACCCAATCCCAGACAGATTTCCAACCACAAAAACTGCTAGAATTTTTCAAAATATACATGATGGTGTTTTCTTCCTTTACACCCAAATTTCTTATTGAATCGGTTCATACATATATATCCTGACGTGTTTCAGCACACTTTACAAGATTATTTCTAATATATATATTTCTAGTGACAATTAGAGTATTTCAAAAGAAAAAAATCTAACATCTCACATAGAATCACATCAAGCTCTGTAATACACTTGGTCAACATTGTCTAGAAGTTACTCTTTTTCCTATCACTCATTTTACACAAAATGTGAGAAGGCTTGTTAGCTGGATGTCTGATAAGCTGGGTTCACATACCTGTGCAAATATTTGTAGTCTTCTTAAATTACATTTTTACCATCAGCGGCTCCTAAATCCAGCACATACACTATAAAAGGCAAACCAACAAAGAAGTATGTAAAAGATCTTCATCTGTCTCTGCACAGCTACCAGGGGAGGTGAGCTAGCCCCATGAATGTCTGCACTTTGATACAAGAGCTGTGATAATGATGAAAAGTTAATAGATTTTTATCTATATCAACCTGATGATCACAGACCTTGTTATTTTTATTATTTTTTTAAGAAGAGGATTGATGCTGCATGAATATGAAGGCATATATTCACAGCATTTCTTAGATTTATAGGTACAGGGGCTACAAAGCCTTCTTTCCTTTCTAAGGTAGATAAATTGAGTTCCATGCAGTTTACTATGTAGGGGTCTTTCAAATGAGACCACAAAATCTTAAATCCTTACTCTCCTGTGTGGACATTAAAGATCTCATAACACTTTTCATAAGAGTAGGGGCTTGTCACCAGGCCACTGGGCAAATTCCTGGGACTTACCTTAAAGTCCAACAGCCAGTTTTCTCTGCAGGACATTAGCGAATTCAGTACCCTGGAAATGTTCAGTATATTTATTCAATTTATTAAAAATGTTATCCTAATGGTTCTGAAAATATCTTTTTTACTTTTTGTTTCAGCAAAAAGGAACCAAAGGTCTCTTCAGGCGAAGTTACAATGTTTGTTACATAAAATCAAACTTCCTTCCAAAATATTTGATTAGACCCTGTTGTACCCAAATGCCTACGGTACTAATTTTATTTTAAAAAAACAAAAAACAACCAATATATAATAAAAAAAATCTTATAATCCATGATCCATGCTTTCTGATACAGGTAATGTAAAATAAATGATATAATCTACAAAACAATGACAAATGAAAGACTTGGAAAAGGTTATGGTTTGACAAGGTAACATTTTTGAAATCTGGACACCAATCAAATTGATGTAACTATTGGTGATGCAACACTCTCTGACACTAAAGTCTTTACCACTGTCTAAAACATATAGAAGAGCCTATTGTGATTGCTTAACGTCAGCTTTTGTTCATAAGCTCTTTCATAAAACTGAAACCAGGAAAATGATTTAAAGCAGTTCAATTTGTCTATTTACCTTAATCTTTAACTATTCCCATATGTCTGGCTACATGATGTATGACTCTTCATAAACCAATTTTTCAAAGATATATAAGACAGAAAAAAGTCAGGCTCCTAACCTTTTATGCGTTGAACTTTTATAGAGCTCTAGAAAACAAAATGCTTTTAGGTTTCAGAAAAGAAAAAAAGGGCAAAAGGTTATTTTCTTTCTCTCTCTTCTTAGTGAATATTTGCATCAGTGAAAGCAGAGTATGCAGTAATTTCTAGGTAAGTGAAAAAGTCCTTTTGAAGCTCCCGCCCCCTAACATCGATGGTAAAGTTCTTATTTTTAAAAAGAACTACTTAAAAAGTGACGATCCACAAATGAAGATCATTAGGTTCTTACAACTTCCCAGGCAACGTAGATATATTTTGCTAGATATACTATTACGGCAGGGAGAAAGAAAATACGAAATGCAGATTAGGTTCTGCCTAGTAAGTTGCTGAGCCACGTTGCTTCGGTCTTAAGGACTGGAGACTGTAAGTCAGTGTTGAAATGGGACGGTGAGATTATTTTTAAAATATAACTGGATAATTACCTTATTTTAATTAATTTACACGCCCTTCTAAAGATGGAAATAAAGAAAAATGGTAGCTTTTTGCTTATTTACGTAACCTGTATCTACTGAGCACTCGCTGTGTGCAAGCCGACCGTGCCAAGACTTGGGCTGTAAATTCTTTGCCGTCAACCATTTTGCCGCAAAACTCATTAGCCGTAAGGCAATTTTGCTGTAAAAGAGAAAATAATTAGTTGACAGTTTGGGCTGAGAAGTTGGTTCCAATTGACACAGTACTCCCATTTTTTATATTAAAAAAATAGAGTTCAGGGCCGCCCTGGTGGTGCAGGAGTTAAAGTTTCAAAGCCATCAAGTTTTCCCCAGCCCTGCGGCACGAGTTCGATCCCCAGCCAGGGAGAAATCCACATGGCGAAGCCGACCTCTCCTCACTCGCCCGCTGCTCCCCTCAGCAGTGTATTTCAATCAATCTGCCTGTTCTGCTCCCCATTCTGTCTCTGGTGAATCCTCTCACTGCCCCCCTACCCCGCATCTCTGGCTGCACCCCAGTTCTTGCATGCATACATAAAAAAAAAAAAGAGCGCCTAAAGCCAGACCTATATCATATTCGAAAAACAGTAACATTTCAGTTTGTAACTCTCTCCTTAAGGACCCCTCCGCCCCGCAAGGTTTACCAAGCTATAGCAAAAATAACAGTGAGGCCAATAATTTGCAACAGTCTTTGTGAGCATAACTATGAACTGTTTGGCTAATTTAGATACAACAGCTTATTCTCTAAGGCCGCCTTAACGAAATTTATCAGGCGTTTTTTAGAAGCTGGAAGCAAATGAAGAATCATGCTCTTCCTGCTTCCCCAAAAAGAGATGGTTACATGATTCCTGATGAGTATACAGATTTTGAAAATATTTTGATATTTGATAGTGGAAAAAATGTAGATAGTATTTTAATATTTGACAGAGAATAGAGTTCCCCTGATTTGGTGAAACATAGAAACAGGGCACATGAAGGAGCATTTAAATATGGTGCCAAGACGTAATACCAGTTACATACATACACTCAAGGTGATGAGAAATAGCAACCCTCAATTCTCGGAAAGCAAAGTGGAAGGTATTCCCAGTGTAATATAATGCTCACTTACAAATCTGCGTAGTACTATTTAGAAACTGATATCTCTCTTATAAAGAAAGAAATTTTAGCGAAAATTTCAGCGATTTTTTTTACCTTTTTATGGCGAAATTGTCCTATACCCAATTAGTTATATGGAGAAAATGCTTGTAGAGAAAATGAATATGGCATAAGAAGTTGTAGCAAAATCACCCAGAATTCTAACTGAACAAGCAACATTGAACAAGGCAAATTCAGAGCCGTGACTTCAGGAGTCTCTAATTTGATTTTAAGCTAGAAAGGGGTGTTAGGATCATGACTATCAGGTTATGATGATGAGTTGGGATAAAATAAATTTTTTCTGGTGCATTTAATCTTTAACGTTCTTGAGCTCAGCCCTTACACAGATTTTCTTCTATAACCTGTGCTGTTTTCAAGGTACACTGTAATTTCCCAGCTGGTTTGCCTAAATTAGAAAAATGTAGTTTTCTGTCCTAAAGTGGCGCAAAACATTAGAATTCTATGATAAAAATGGAATGCCTAACAAGGAGAAAGATTCAGCATTTGTTACACATTTACCAATGTGCCAGCCCAACTTCAGGCACTTTGCATATTTTTACCACAAATATTCATATCTCACATGAACAGAAAAAGAGCAACTAAATTGTTTTATAGAATGGTGTAGTGTTTATCTGAAAGTAGAAGTCAAATAGAAAAACTAATGAACAGTCAAAAAACAATTATTAAAATGAACGCTTCTATCAGTGTTAGAAAAAATAAATTCATATCTATATCTGTATTTCCCCACCTATAACTAGACAGCATTTTTCTTACACAGGCTTTATAAAGTGCTTTTAATGAACTTCAATATTAATTGATAAGCTGACAGATATAACAAAGCTTCCTAAGGAGTAGAATATATGCTGAAAAAAGCTTAACCTGTCAATCAATGTGGAAAAAATTATTATTATTTAGTCAAATGGCATGGGCAAATCACAGAATCATCCTCCGATGTTGCTGAGTGTAAAATTCTTTGGTAAACTTTATGTAACAACTCGTTGGCTTTTGTGTTACAGATTTTAGGTGTTAGATTTCGACAGTGCTTGATAATGGTGACAATAATTTGAATAACCATAAATATCAAACTAAGATCTTAGTACCAGCATTTGAAGTACACAGAATTTTCCCCTCATTTATACATTTATTATTCCCCAAGTGAAATACTGAAAATACATTTATTCATATGTATATGTGTACAGATATTTACATATAGTTTATTATGCTACATGTAAAATGTGTAATTCTTAAAATGTAAATCTATTTGTCCTTATGATTTTGAAAATGAAGAGCTGCTAGTATTGTTCTGATATTATTTATTATACATTTACTTAATTTGTTAAAACTCTAAAAGGAACTCAGTGGTGTCTGAGGAGAAATAAATTTTTATATTCCAGGTTTACTCCAAAATGTTTTGGTTTTTGGAATTCTAATTTCTTGTCTTATTCTGATTTCAGAATAACAAAGTTATCATCTTAAAGCAATTTGGAATAACTTCAAAAATGAAAGTATCTAATAATTAGAGAAAATAAAGCTAGTATGTTTCTTAATGAAATATACTAGCAATTCTCAAAATGTAGGAAAAAGCAAACAAGTATGATATTTGGCAAATGTCTCTAGTCTGTTTACTTAGAAATCTTGCCATTTATCTTCTTAATCTGTTGGTAAAATAAAGAAAAATCTGATTTAATAAATCAGGCAGCTATCATAAGCTGTGTTTTTGAATGTGATTATAATTCAGTAGTCTGCAGATTTTAGGAGACTGAAATAAATGAGCACTTTATTTACACAAAATAGAAAATTAGTACAGAGCTTTAAATTTTAATGATTTACTCTATAAATATTAAAATATTTTATTATTTTTAAAATAAAATAATCTAAAATGAAAATACTTAGATTTGGCTAATTAATTCATTTGAATGAATACATTTTAAAACCAACTATTTCACACACACCAAAAAAACCTAATTTAAAATAAATTATTTTTTAATTCCCTTTTTTTATGGTTCTTTTTAAAACTTCAAGTATGCTTGAGAAACTGACTGTGGATCATGTATATGATGTAGGGTCAATGCTGTATTGAATTTCCAGACCATTTTCAGACTACCTTCTGGCAATGGAAGCATTTTGACCACTGACACTCCCTATGGGTATATCTGACTATCCTGGTACAATGCAGCATTCCCCGTTATTGAATCTACAACAAACTGCTGTAGGTTATTCATTGATTGAGTGTTTAAGTATATTCTTTAGGAGCAAATAGAGAACTAATCTGTAAGCAATCACATAAAATAAAAAATCAGCAGAATTCCTGCTTCAAAGATGTTCTCAGCTTGAACACTTAATTATGTACATTCTTTGATTATATTGTGTCACACTCAATAAAGATATACAGGAATTTTATTTCTTTTTATCACTGTAGATTCTTCTCAGTGCTTCCTTGTACCATGGAAGGAAATTAAGAAAGCAACTTCTAAACTAGTCATTCCAAGTTAAAGCAAATCTACTCTCCTTATATAATATTTTATTAAACCTGGATCAGTCACAGTATTTGCCAGAATGTTTATTTAAACAAGAAAAATGCTAGTGATTCTGTAGTTTTCTAATACATTGTCAACTAAACATCAGGTAAAATGTTTTCAGCCTAAAGATACACATGTGTGTAAGTGCAGGAGTCTGCATTCATCTTAACGAGGCTGTATTTCACGAATAAGCTGGAGGACTCCTTGCATAGTCTTCTTAAACAATTCAGAGCCTGAGAGAGTGTGGTGGCATGTGTGAAAGAGCAGACAGCTCTGCATCCATTCACATGGTCCCTCTGTCAGTGTGTATTTAGGATAGTTTTCTAACACAAAATCAGCTCAGCTGCAGTGTCAATTTCAGAGGGTTTTGAGAGAGACAGAGAAAGAGAATACTTCAACTCCTTAAATGCATTTGCTATTCTTCCTCTCTGAAAACCTGAATGTGTTTTTCATTTCTCACAGAAATTACATCTTGTGGCTATACCTTCCATATCAATCTGCTTTCTTTGTGTTTGAATTAGCTTGATATGCCTTGGTATGCCTAAATGAATAAACATTTAGAAATGCTTAAGACTGGAATAAGATATTTAAAAGGTATATGCATAAAAAAAAACCCACAGAATTAAGTATACATTAATAATGATTAAAAAAAAGTGGTAAAATATGCTTTTGGTTTTTTAGGTTTTGTTTATTTTGTTCTAGTCTGTTACCACCAAATTTTTCACTGACGCTACCATCTATATGAGGAAAAAGAAGCCCAAAATATTAATATTAATGACATAATTTTGTCCAAATTCTTTTTCTGAAATGCAACAGCAGCATTGTTTTAATGTTGATGTTTTTATTTACTTATCTTCACTTTAACAACATAGAAGGCATATGGAAGAAGTTATCACTTTGTTGCCTAATATGAGAATGCAGTAAAATCTAGAGTTTATTCCAACTAATTAAATGCTTGAGTGTTTTTGAGAGATTACTAAACATGGATTACTAAACATTGAGAGATTACTAAACATGGATTACTAAACATTTAAATAAAGCATTTCAGTAATATTACTTTCAAATGGTAAATAACCAGGGAACAGAAAACAATTTTAAAATATTAGCAAAGAACAACAAAAAAGAAAACGTTAATCTCTATGGTCAATGTTACATTATACTCACTTCTCTGCTCAAGTTTATGGAATTCTTCAAGTGTAACAATTAGCAACTCAGGTCATTTAATGTATGTGATTATGCTTCAAGGCCTGTGAGTATAAAAAAATATGGCCCATTTACGAAGGACTTTACACTATGAAACAAGGACATAGAAATAGAAGTTGGTTGTTTATAAAACAGTGAAGATAATATGCTGATGATGTGGGAGGTATTTCCTCTAAACTATCAATATGATGAATGTTAAAAGGCTTTAAAAAGTGAAGAGGAAATGCTGTGCAAATACCATTTACAATATTGTTGTCTTTTTGTAATATCATGTGTAGTTTTATTGTATTCCTTTTGCAAAATATACTGTCAGTTAGTTAGATTTTGAAATGATAATGATATAGTCCCCAGTGTGAATTCAAGCTATTACTTTTATATATAATACTTTTATTACATGAAATTTATCAACTACATATTTTATATTATTGAAAATGTACATATTTAACTAAGATACTCAGGAGAACAATGGAAACTTTTAGCAGAATAATTTGATTCTTCCAAAGAACTGTTTTTTCAATTTAAGGATTCTTGCTAACTTCTAAAGGTTGACCATTATAGAAATGTCCATATCAAACAAATTTTAGAAATATTCAAACCACCAACTGTATAATTGTATAGAACACACAACAGTATATACCCCATCATACTGGCATTTTATTTATTTTTTTAAAGATGTATTTATTTATGCATACAAGAGCTGGAGTACAGGCCAGAGATGCGAGGTGGAGGGGGGGGTGGTGGTGAGAGGATTCACCAGAGACAGAGCAGGGAGAAGAACAGGCAGACTGACTGAAATACACTGCTGAGTGGAGCAGCGGGCGAGTCAGGAGAGGTCTGTTGCACCATGTGGGTAGCTCCCTGACCAGTCAAGGATTAAGGATCGGCCTCCTGCTGCAGAGGCTACGGATAGCTTCATAGGTCACGTCTTAACCCCTTGTGCCACCAGGGAAGACCCCATAGTGGCATTTTAAATTAACACCTACATATACTCTTATCACATTGAATTATTATTTTCCTTTTTCATGTATATAGTTCTTTCTAGCTGTGAAGATTTTGAAAATTAAAACCATATTTCATTCAGAGCCTAATCCATAAAATAACATATAGCAAAGCTACAATGTAGAAGAGGAAAATGAGAAAAGAAGGAATGGAGGGATAGAAGGAAGAAAGAAGGGAGGGGGTAGAAAAGGAAGATAAACTTGAATAAGTAAACAAAATAACAGGAAAACCCAAAAGAAAAGAAGTGATAGAAAATGTGTAACAACATTAACTGGACAGTCTTCACGCTATTACAAGGGATAGTATTATTTATAATTAAGTAATACAGATATAAATATGATTGTTGGGCTGACTATTCATTATTAAAAATTTCAACATGGATTTTTTTATTATGTAAATTTGTTAGGGGGGAAAGGACGTCCTAAAGCTAATTCCATACAGGCTTTGTGGACTCCACCCCCAACTCCAGACCAAAGCCAAAAGTCACTGGGAACTCCAAATCCCATCACCACCAAAGGGAAGGTGACTGGGACCTGAGAGTGCGGTTAAGCAGCCAGGTTTGGTATAAAGCCAGACACATGGGCTTTGGAGAGAATCCCCCATTTTGTCTCCCCACCAGCTCGCAGCCTTTGGCCAGCTCTGAGAGTGCCTTTGGGTTTCCAGGTCGGCGGATCGGGTAGGACACATTAAAGACTTTATTTCCCTATTTTCTCCCTGAGTTGTACATTTCCTTAATTCCCTTTCCCTTGTAAATAAACCTTTTATTAACCTTTTTTGTGTGTGTCTGTAGTGGAGTATTAATAAGTCCCTTTTAAGCACGCAAGTGAGGACCCACAGCCAGGCAACCCGTTTTATATTGGGGTTGCCACATAACAAATTCACTTTATTTCCTTTTAATTCTGCAAGGACATATTTTATGAAAGTGAATTTAGGTTTTTGTTGCAAAAAGAGACCATATTTTACTCATCACTGCCTAGTTTCTGAATCACACTCTTATAACTAAGCTTCCCTCTGTGATGACCTTGTGTATTCTGGTGACACATCCACAAATAGCCTCCTTGAAAATGACTGGACAAGAGCAGCAACCAACAACACACCTTGGCATGGAGTTTTGCTACCTGAAAGACCCTACTAATAAGAGTCTCAAGTCTAAGATGGAGAGTTGCAATATATTGCCAGTTACTGAGTGTAGAAACTACTGCACACACTTTAAAACTAGTCTTCACAGATGTACAGCATGGAAAGGACAACTTGTAGTCACTTCAATGAACAGTCTTTCTCATACATTCATTTTTTAACTATGAAGAATGGCAGTCTTCCTAAAATATTTTTGAAATGTTGAAGCTCTTAAATTTAGTTGTCAGAAATTGAAGTTCTATTTGTCATTCTTATATGAGAGGGGGTTCTGAGAGTGGGTCTCAATTCCACCAACTGTAGGACATAGTTTACATTGTGAACTAGAGTAGCAATGTTTCATTTGGCATAGGGTATGAATACATTACCTGAAATCACACAATGAATTTATTTGAGGTTTAAAAGTTAATAAATGCCAATATTCCATTATGCAGTCTGTTATTATAATAAAAAGTGAAGAAAATACAAAAAAAAATACATTAACAGTTAGCAAAACAAATTTAGAATTAATCTCATTGACCCAGGGAAGGAAGAAAAGCTACATAACAAGCTTTATGCTATGAAAGAAAAAGTCTAGTCTACTGTAAGTCCCAGAAAAGAACAAGAAATATATTTAATTTCTTTTCAGGCTTTCTAGTAATTTTTAAATAGATTGGATAATTTGTAAAATGAAATCATTTATTAAATTTTACTTTTTATTTAGATCAAATATATGTAATTTGAGAACTCAGTATATATTTTCTTTTTTAATGTCAGGACCTAAAGCCATGAAGACACTATACAGATTGTGGAATTTATTTGTGTTGAATGAGGCTTTTGAGCAGCTTGCATCTAGTTCACAGATAATGACAACGCAAGCTAAAAATATTAGCTTAAACAGTATTATGATAACTTGTATGTAAAGATGGAAAGAAACTGAGAGGAAATGATTAGTCAAACAAGCTGTAAGCTTAACTCAGAGAAGCACACTAAAAGATTTCATGAAGGTTTATTTGGTATTGACATCTATGTGTATTTCCCCTCTCAGCTGGAATGAATCCAAAAGAGCTGTCATGGTTGGTCAAGTAAATAATACACGCTTTAAAAACAATTATAAATCTGTATTCACCTGATGGACTTTGTATTCATTCCAGTCAATTGGGCATATAATACTCGTTTAAAAAATAAGTACATATAATGCATTAAAAACTGCTTAAACGCCCATTTAACCGGAGGGGCCAAAACAGCTCTAAAATGGAGCATGTGATTAACACTAATGGAAGTTATGCATATGTAATGAAAGGAGAACCCCAAACCCTTTTAAAAAGAGCTGTGACAGGAGAATGACAGCTGGGAAACACTAAGATCTGAGGCTTCTATCTATTGCTTTTGAAAGCCTGCTCTGCCCTCAGAATAGAAAATACCCCCCCATATGGTGAATCTTGGGGTCCAAGGAAAAAAATAAACTGATATCCAAGGTAAAATAATGCTAAAGGAAATGGCAGTAATAGCCTGGTGATAAATAATAAGATTCTGTAATTGGGTTGCATCTCGATACTCAAGCAGCAATTCACTGTTGATGACTCCCATCCCATTTTAAGATCATACCCAAGATTCCTCCTTTATAATGTCAAACAAAAAAGATCTATAGTTTAAATTTTCAATGAGCATAATGTAGAAACAATCTCATAATAGTTTAGTTTCACAATTTTAATGAATGGAAGACATAAGCAACAGTTTACATAAAAACTAATGATTCTGCCTGATAGTCCTTTTAGTTGGGACTTCTTTTTTTTCATAAACTAATGATACCTCTTTATCTTTTCTAATTTTTTTAATTTTTTTTACATCATTGTTCATTTTTAAACAATATTGCTTTCCCCCACAACCTCAGGTGTAATCCCCATAGAGTTTCCTTCACCATTTCACCTGTGCACCATCAAGACAATATTTGCCAACTGGTCACATAGATGGTGAGGTTTAAGAAGCAATTATAAGTTTACTTGCCCACCAAATTGCTTCCCCACTAGCCTGGTAAAAGAGGTTTGAAATTATCCACAGAGGTGCTTTGTAGGAGGGGTTAGGATGACAGAAACTCCCTAGTGAAATGCAAATACAATACCTGAACACAACATGCATTAATTCATGAGCACTCCCCACCCATAATTAACTTCCCAGATAAACTCCCCACGACCTAGGGAACTGAGTGGTTCTGTATAACAATGGACACAGGAGGGAGAAAATGTTCAATGTATATATATACCTTTGAACTGTCTCAAAGAGCCCTGAAAACAGATCTCAATATTCTCATCCAATAATTTGCCGGTCACTTTTGAAGTAATATAACACTTGTTGTTGTAGAGCAACCCCGATACAAAACGGGGTGCCTGACTGTGGGTCCTCACCCGCGCGCTTAAAAGGACTTATCAATGCTCTACTGCAGGCACACGTGAAAGGTTAATAAAAGGTTTATTTACAAGGGAAGGGGAAATGAGGAAATGTACAGCTCTGGGAGAAAAGTGGGAGACAAAGTTTTAAATGCGTCCTACCCGATCCGCCGATCAGGAATCCCAAAATGGCGCTCTCAGAGTTGGCCGCCAGCCAGGAGCGGTGAAGCCAGGAGGCGAGCGATGGCGAGCGATCGCGAGCCAGAGAGCGAGCAAGGCCCACGTGTTTGGTTTTTATATCCAACCTGGCTGCCCAACTCCACCCTCAGGTCCCAGCCACCCTCCCCTTGGTGGTGATGGGATTTGTCTTTCCCAATGTCCTGATGGCTTTAGTCTGGAGTGGGGGTGGAGTCCACAAAGCCTGTATGAGATTATCTCAGGACATCCTTTCCCCCTAACATTGTGACTACTAGAATATTAACCCACTAGAATTCTACTCCAGCCTAAGTCTCTTCTCCACTTCGAATATTAAATTGGAATGTTGAATGTTGTTAAAATGTAAGAGTCTTGA